AGAACAGTGTCATTGATTTCACATGCAAGCAAGATTCTACTGAAGATCATCCAAAAACGATTAGAACAGCACATCAGCAGAGAACTGCCGGAAGTCCAGTAAGTTTTTAGAGGCTGTAAATCATACAAGAGGAAATTTCCCATCTTTTTTCCCTCAGAGCAGCTGGTGAATTCAAACCACCTGCCTTTGGGTTGGCACAACAATAATCTGCCGTCTAGAATTTATACCAACTTTACAATGCTGACAATGTGTGAGAGGCCTGCTTTCTGAAGCTAACATGGTGTTAAATAAACTTTTGATCTCCTCCCACATGATAGATAATAACGGTATTTCAGTGTGGTTTTAATTTGCATTTCTTTTTATTGTGAGGATGAGCATTTTTTTATGTACTTCAAAGCGTTTTGTATTTTCTTTTCTGTGATCTGTCTTGTTCATTTGCTTTCTCTGTTTTTCTAAAGGATTGTTGTTTTCTCCTTTCTGCTGTATAGAATGTTTTTACTTGTCAAGGACATTTGCTCTTTGTGATTTGAGTACAAACTTGTCCTTTTGTTTTCCGTATAGTAATTTTTATTAGGCACAGGTTTTTGCTTTTATTTTTGTGTAATCTAACACATCTGCCTTTCCTTTAATAGCATTTGAGTATTACGTCATAGAAAAACCTTCATTGTTCTTAAGTTACAATGGAAATCTCCCAGGCATCTAAAATATTTTGTTTAATGTTCTGCTTAGTATTGAATTGTGGTGTAGGCTAAGAATATTTAATATCTCACAGTCTGCCAAAAGAACAAACAAATCTATCTTGGAGAAGGTGCAGCCAGGGAGATCATTCGAGGCAGGAATGGTGAAACTTTACCTCCCATACTTGGGGCATGTTATCAGAAGGGTCCAGTCCTTGAAAAGTGACATCATACTGGGAAAGGTGGGAGATTACATCATGCTGAGAAAGAGAAAGAAAGGAAGACCCTCAACAAGGTGGACTGACACAGTGACTGTGACAATGGGCTTGAGTATATCAGAGATAGTAGGGCAAGTTTCAGATCTGTTGATGATAGGATTGCTGTGATTCTATGGCACATAGCAATATGAAGTCTTAGTTTAACCTTTGAATCTTAGATGGACTTGGAGTTTGTGTAGGCATATAAAAGATGGTACAGGTACATAGTTCTAAGTCTCCAGTGGACCCACTTGGCTAAGGCAAGCACACTGTTTCCTCCAGTCTGTCTTATTGTGCACATATCTGGTTCTTGATCCTTCAACTTTTCTCCTGTAGAGCTCTTCAGTGGTTCCACTACCATAGGCTGCCGGGGTTTCCTTGGGTTTAAACTCATGAGCATATGTGATACTCATGGACTCCTTCCAGAGAAATTCTCCATCTTTCCCAGGATCACTTCTTGGTTGTGCCTAGATCTCCTCCTGACCCTGCCTGTTAAGTGGTCTAGAAGAATGTTCTAGAAGATTTCTGTCAATAGGAGCTCCTGGGAGAGGAGTTTGATTTTATGTCTTTGCAGACTGTAAATGTCAGCCTTCCTCCTGCTTTTGCCTCACTTCCCAGCCCCACCGCATCTCTCCGTCAGGTATGTTTACCTGAGTTCTTGCCATCAGCCAAATGAGTGAGTAAAACCCATTTCTCTCTTCTTAAAGGCCTTTCTCATCTTGAATTTACTCTGTCAGTGCAACACATCCTACCTGCTCACTCTGTAACTTCCAACAGCTTCAAATTTGACCATTTCCCCCTGATTTTTCTCTGCAAAGCCAGCAAATGCCCAACACAGCCAATTTCTCTTCACATATTTTGATGTCTATTGGATCTGTAATTCCTCTATCTCAGGATCTTGTTGTGTCTTTACACACACACACACACACACACACACACACACACACACACACACATTGCTGTCATCACATCTCACTGAAGTCCCCTCTGGTGCTGGCTGCCAATATTTGCACTTCCACCGTGGGAGGCCCACAGTGTCTGACCACCTGACCAGGCTTCACATCACACGTGTCATTCACATTTGCTCCTGGGTCCCCTCAGAGTATACTGGTCTGGGAGAGCCTACTGGTGGACAAAATCCTTCATATCCCTGGAACCACACACTTTGCCTGCCTTCTGATCATGTGATCCAGCACATGCCCCTTTAACCGCACTTTAACAATCCCTTTCCAAGAGGCTTGCTGTGGGTGCCATTCCACTCCCATGAGGTGCACGCTGGCCTTTAGATCTGCCCCTCTACTACTTTTTTGAAGCGGGACCAGTGATGATTTGTGATGCTGAGGGTCTCAGCACGTGGTGGCTCTGTCGATGCCTCTCCTCCCGAGTTCCTCTAGATGCTCACCTGTAACTGTCTGTGACCCCAGGAACTTTTACTCACCTTAGCTTCGTAACTGGTCCATCGCCCAACAAAGTCAGTGATGTGCCAAAGACTTAGGTTTGAAAAGAAATTAAAATGCAAGTGGCAGCATAGCATATGGGGTGTGATACCATAACAGATATGTGTGTATAAGTGCTCTTTATTCCCCCAAGAGCACGTATGTAAACATACAGGAGAAAGCCAGAAGGGGCTGTAGTGAGCTGACAACAGGACTTAGCTGAGGGGAAGTTCTTGACTGGCAAGGTTTGTCAAGGGGTATTTTCCGCTCATCTGATGTGTATGTTTTACAGAGGGAAAAAGCTAATTAAAACTAAACACTCAAAGACCCGTTGTGCTTTTAATAATTTCAAATAAGAATAAGTATTAACTTTCTAAAACAGGCAATGTAAAGAAAATGCAGAGACTGAGAAATGAGTTTCAAACTGGTGTCCGTTTCAAATGGACACCACCCTACAACATAATCCAGGAGATCCAAGCAGATCTCCCTCCCCAGACATGGGCTTTAGCTCCCAGACGAGTCACCTTTGGGGATGTTCTAGGAGTGTTAGAAAATTGATCCTTATAAAGATGCACTTACAGGAAAGTGTGACAAAGAATTGCAAGTTTTAATGTTAAGTCTAAAGTATGTCTCATCTCCCACTTGGAAGTTGTTAGCAGTTCAGTTCTTGACTGACTATTCCCCCCACACCTCAAACAGCAATTCTCAGTGGAGGAGGACCCCACCCACCCCTGCTGGACATCAGTGCTAGTGAGCCCTGGGTGTTTGCTCCCTCGGCCACACCGGGCAGAAAATGGACTGAACCCTTTCACTTTCAGAGCATATTTTAATATGAATATTTGTCAAAAAGTCTCTTATTGATGTAAAATAAAACAGCTCTTTGTAACACACATGGAAAAAAGTTAGCTTTGATGATGCAATATAAAGCCAAAAAAATATCAAAAATACTATTTTTGTGGTGGGCTCTTTTCCTTACGATGACATAGGCATGGTAGCATTGAGACTCGATGGGATGAAGTGCTGGTGTCCCCACTTTCTAGATGTCTGACCCTGGACGAACTATTAGCCCTTCTGGCTGGCTTTCAGGATCTCGTTGTAACGTGGTGACTTTCTTTATGAGGTTATAGTAAGTTAGTGCACTCTATCCCTTGAATTTGGAAGCAGGAGTGGCATCCATTTCCTGAACCACATGCCTCTGGAAACTCTATGAACTTGGAGAAACGATAACTATAGAAAGGCTTCAAGCCTTTTGTTCATAGGGTCACTATGAGTCATGCTCAACTTGAAGGCAGTAGACAACAATAACAACATCCCTTAAATAGTGCCTGGCATAGGGGAAAGAATGTTAGCTTGGTGATTGGTTCTGGCCTTATGAAACAAAACATTTCCAGCTGTGCCACCTTCTTAACTGTTTCTAATTAAGTAAGCGTCACTAACTGTGGCAAGGGGGCCTTGGCCCATGGCTAACAGACACTGCCCACCTTTGTTCCTCGGAGTGGCCAGTGGGTCTGAAGCACTGGAAACTCTAAGGTCTTCTGATTCGCAGCACAACATTTTAGACTGTGCCGGACCTCTGTCATCACTCTGTTGTTTTGTTGTACCTTGAAGTCAACTTCAGCTCCTTATACAAGAAACAGATCTGAACCTTGCCTGGTCCTGCACCATCCTCCTGACCTCCACCATGTTCCAACCTATTATTACAGTCATGGGGCCAGTCTGTCTTGTTGAGGGGCTTCCTCTCTTTCATTGATCCCCTGTCTTTCCCAGCATGATGGTTTTTCCCCCAAGGACTGACCCCTCCTGATCACACACCCCAAGTATATGAGGTGAAGTTTCACCAACTTTGCCTGTAAGAAGCACCCTGGTTACACTTCCTCCAGAACAGATGGGTTAGTTCCACTGGCAGTGCATGGGCTATTTCACACTCCTCTCTAATACCACAATTCAAAGACATCCATTCTTCTTCAGTAATCTTTATTCATTGTCCAACTTTCAGACGCATAGGAAACAATTGAGAATACCATGACATGGGTAAAATGCAGTTTAATCTTTACACTGACATCCGTGTTCTTGAGCACTTTATGAGGTCTTTGACAGCATTTCCCAGTGCACTATGTCTTTGGACTGTTGATCCTAGAACAGTGAAATCCTTGACAACTTCACTGTTGGCTGCATCATAATGTTGCCTAAAGGTCCATTGGTGAGGATTTGTGTTTTCTTGATATTAAGATGCAATCTTTACTGAAGGCTGTCGTCTTTGATCTTTTTTCAGTAAGTGCTTCAAGTCGTCTTCACTTTATGCAACCATCACTTACACAGTCATAATAAAAGACATAAAATCTAAAAACAAAGCTGTGGTCCTCCCTGGCATCAGAGAGTTTGAGCATAAACCCACTCAGATCAATTGCAAGATACTCTAAAAATAGAGTTGCTAGTATTGGCACCCAGAACAGCTTTGCTTTGTCTGAAGCGGTGAAATGGTGATGGTATGCTGTGTTTCTTTACGGATCTCACTGGGCCCAGTGAATCTCTGGTCTCATGAGGGGATAAGGAAAAGCTGGCAAGTGGGGTTCAGCGGGGGCTGACTTTGCCCAGCACAGGCTAACGCAGCTCCTTGGGTCTGTTGCAGGAATCATGTACCGCAAGTCGTGTGCGTCATCCGCGGCCTGCCTCATCGCCTCCGCTGGCTACCAGTCCTTCTGCTCGCCAGGGAAACTGAACTCGGTTTGCATCAGCTGCTGCAACACCCCACTCTGCAATGGTCCGCGGCCCAAGAAGAGGGGCAGTGGTGCAGTGACGCCCCGGCCGGAGCTGCCCACCACCATCCTGCTCCTCAAACTCGCCCTGTTCTTGGCGCACTGCTGAAGCCACCGCCGAAGCACCACCCTCTCACCCTCGCACCCCCTCGTGGCAGATCTCTCCGGGTGTTCCTGTATTCTGGGTCGGGGGGGCGGTCTGTGTGTCCTCCTTTTTTTGTTCGTTTGCGAATAATGAAAGAGCTTGGTGTCATTTTTTTGTAAGTCCCAATAAATTCCGTCCTATTGAGTTTTCAGTGTGTTCTGCAGGAAGAAGGGGGCGGCGGTGATGTTCACCTCCCTGTGATCAGAGTCAAGGCCGGGCACTGGAACGCGCCCTCAGATGACACCAAGCCCCGGCTTCCGTTCCCATCTGAGATGGGGTTACGACTCATTGTCTGTGGGTGTGGGGGCTTCAGGGCTGCTGAGCATATCAGATGTGGCGTCTCGAGCCTCATGCTCCTGGAGCCCGTTCCCAGCAGGGCAGGGGGCTTCACCCTCCACCGGCTGCACCTCGGAGTCGGGCCCCAGGGAAATGACACTCTGCTGTGGGGGCTTGGCATCAGCCTTGGGCTCACTCTGGAAAGTGCTTAGGAAGACCTTGGCATTGGTTTTCCCAGAGGATCGGCGCCAGGAGGAGGCACGCAGGAGCGGAAGCGCGGAGCGCATGCTGTGTGTGGTTGCCCGCAGTGGGGTGCGCAGCCCCTTGTCCTGGTTGGCGTGGCGCAGCGTCAGGCGACAGCGCAGCACCTGCCAGAACACGCTGCGGAACTGCTGCGAGGACACATTGTAGAGCAGCGGGTTGACCACGGAGCTGAGGTAGAAGAAGGTGTCTGAGAAGGGCAGCAGCGTCATGTAGGCACGGAAGTAGGCCTTGGTCCAGTCGTGCTTGGGCTTGGCCGCTGCCAGGAGTCGGCGAATCTGGTTTGGCATCCAGCACACGGCCAGCGTCACCACGATCAGCCCTGAGCGAGGGAGAGGAGAGAGGGATCAGCGAGAGACCAACAGAAAGAAACACTATAAAATATTTAGCCCCTCCGTTCTGTGCTCACTGGCTGGGAAATGGTCCCAATTCCTCACTGCTGTGTTTGACAGCTGCTTTTGCCACCAGCACAAAAAGAATGTAAGGAGGTTTCAAGGCTGGGGGAGTTGGCTGTGTTAAAGACCATTAAATGCTTTAGACACTTTGTTTATACCTGTTAGTTTTTTTTATAAATGTCCTCATTGGTGTTTATGTATCCAGGAAATATCTTCTGTGGCTCGTAAATCTGATTTTCTCCTCTTGTCTTAAAGAAATAGGAGAGTCATATTAAGCAGCGTTTCTGTTTTCATGAATATCCCTACAAGAAAGACCTGACGCTGTTTTCACCTTGGAGGGAAGCATGTTTAATTGCACTGAGCCTTTGTCTCCTTTCAGGGGAGCCCAGCTCAGGAGTAGCTTGTCATGGAGAATGCTTTTTGGACAGATGTGCTGAGAAGGTACACCTGTATTTATGATGTGTGTGTCTACTGTGGCACCTCTGTTTCTTTTCAGAGGTCTTTTGATATATCACCTCTTCCACCCTTGTGGGGGAAGAAAAAGACAATTATCCAAAAGCAACAGAGAATATAAAACTTCCTTCCACTTGGCCAGAGGCTTGAGCTGGTAATGGGCTCAATTCCTTCCCAGTGCAGCGACACAGCCAACAGACGCCAGAGGAGGAGGTCAGCTGAAGCTCTCCTTAGAAGTGAGAATGGGGAGGCTTCGTCTCGTGTGCTGTGGACACGTCGATACTGAATCAGAGAGATAGTGTTTGGTAAAGTAGAAGGTCAGCGGATACCAAGGGAGCACACGGCCAGGCGGAATGGAATAGTGTCTGCAACAGTGCACGCATGCTAACCAACAGTTGTGAGAACAGTTCGAGAGTAAGTAATGTTGGCTTCTGTGCCACCCTACAAACTCCAAAAGCAGCAACCTGTCAGAGAAAGGAAATGCCAATACCTCTCACTAAAATAAAAGATGGAAAATAGTAAGACTGAACCTGAAAAACTTACAAGACCTCAGCAAAGACAAGCTTCCTGTCCAGCTCTCATGTTCCACTGCCTGCATAAGATCCGCATGAGCTCCTCCCACCCATAACAGCACTCACCACAAAGGAGAGCCTCTGCACTCTATCTACGTGCATCACTTGATGACTACCTGTGCATCTGTTACCCCTCCGGTGTCTACAATCCTCACTATAATACGAACCTCGGACAAGAAGGTGTTCTGTAGACCGTGCCATCAGCAATCCCACAGGAGCCTGTCTACAGGAACACAACAATAGGAAGGAGAGCTCGGCTTGGCGTCCACTCCCTCATGTTCCAGAGCCAAGACGCCCAATTAGAAGTTCCCTTTTGGAACGCAGATATCTCAGAACAGGACTTTGGTCTTTCAGAATGTGTTCTCCTTCCCCCACCATTGAAAAATTAAGAGAACATAAGGAAAATTCACACTTTCAAACCTTCTGATTTTCTAATCAGCCACAAGAAAGTGATTATTGGCAATGAACTTTTCCTGCCTCCAACGGATAGATAGGAGGAAATATTCCAAGAAGAGAGCCTAGCTTATGCATCCAAGGTCTGTGCCCTTGGGTTGGGGAAGCAGTGACCCAGGTAGCTGCTCTGGCCCTGCTGAAAAATCCCAACCACCACACACCCCAGTGGTCAACCAACAGAGCCAGAACACCGCTGCTGCCCTGGTTCACTTCCAAGGGTTTCTCCTGTCATACTTCAAGTTCAAAGCTTGTGTGTTCAAACCAGCCTGCTTATTCCTTTGCTTTGAATCTGCTACCCTGAGAGCCTTTAGGAAATCTAAAAATAAAATGGGCAAAGTAACATATTGATCTGATGAAAAGGCAGGAAATCACGAAGTCAAGAGTGTATTCTGAAACACCTAGTTACAGCTGCTCGATGGGAACAAAAATCAACATTTTTCTGATTTTTTTAAAAAAAAACCCAAAATATAAAAGCTTGCATAAGAAGTAGGAGGATTTTTTTCCTCATTGCTTTGAGCAGTGCCAGTGCTCCCAGGCACCTGTGCAGTTTTCCAAGTTCATCCTTCAATTACTGCTCCTCATTTCCATCTCACAGCCCTGACAGAGACTCGTCTCATTAATTGTGAGGAACCAGTATGCTTACCATATTGAGGAAGCCACTGTCATTATAGAGTTTTGCTTTTTCTCTCCCCCGTCATTGAATTTCAGAGAACAAGTTACAGCCGTCTTCGTCTGATGACTGACTTCTCAAAATATGGAAATGAAGCATGTGGTTATAGCTGTGTGTGGTGATACACCATGGAAACTTGAACTTGAGGTATCACTAGAGAGGTGATGCAAGCTGGCTTACACTACTTACCAGGGGCGGAACACCATGTGGCATTCAAAGCTGAGGAGGGGTGCAAGGCAGAGGGTGGGGGCAAGAATTGCTTTTTCTGTGTCCTTTGTTTGCTCCCAGTTCTTTTGATTTCAACCCTTCCCACCCAGCTCTTATTCCTGGGTGATGCAAAAGGTTTATAGATGATTCATTACTTGGAGGCAAAGATGGTAAGGTGTCATCTTTCACACTTTGGGCATGTAGCTAGGCAAGGCTATTCCTTGGAAAGTGACATCATCTTGGAAAAAGATAGTGGGTCAGTGAAGGAGAGGAAGACTCCCTGCATGACTTCAGGAGTGGGCTCGAGTGAGTCAGAGATGCTGAAGATAACGCAGAATAGGGCAGGGTTCAAGACAGCTGTTCATAGGAACGCTACAAGTCATACTGGACTTGATGACACTTAACAACAACAGACTGATGTTGGTGGTTCAGCCTCACCCAGCAGCACTGCAGAAGGAAGGCATGGTCATCTGCTTCTGTAAAGACCACCAAGAAGCCTGAGCGAACATGCTTACGCTGTAACACTTTGTGGCATCAGAAGTAAACTGGCAGAACATCCACGGGGCTGGGTTTCTGTTGAATTCCTCATCTTGTCCTCCCCCCCTTTGGCTGCTGCCTGTCAATTGTCCTTCACTGGTCAGCTCATAGAAGAAAGGACACTCAGTAAAAAGCAAGAGTCAATACTCTACCCAGAGGCAGGCACAAGGGCAGAAAGAGGACTGTTGCAGTTTCAGGCAGCAAGGAATTCTTTCTTGAAGATTGAAGTAAGATAAAGTAAATAAGCCAACAGGTAGCTCAGTCTGAACACGCAGAAAATTGGGAGCCAGATCCAGAGATGTCTCAATCATGAGAGAGAGAAAAAATAATAAAGTTGCATTGCTGAGTGTAGAAGGGGGAGGGAGAAAAGCCACAACTTTAGAGACTAAGGGTGACAAGACTTTATTTAGAAATGGGCAGAGATTTTGTAAAATGCATCAGAGAAGTTTTGATAAAACCAAGAACATTTTTCCGTGTTACTCACTCATGATTTCTCACGCACGTTTCACTCCTGAAAACTGGATGAGACTGGATCCAACATGGTGGTTTAAAATTTTTTTTTAACAGATGTCAATTCAGTCAGCATCTCCCAGTGCTGTAGCTTCTGACCAAAGGTTTCATTTGAGATGCTGGGAAAGGTCAGAGAAATAGAGGAAAACCCTCAACAAGTTGGACGGACCGTGACTGCAACAGTGGGCTCAAGCCTACTGGAGATGATGAGGATCGTGCAGGATGCCGCAAAGTTCAGATTTGTTGTTCACACTGTCACCGTGAGTCACCACTGACTTGATGGCATCTAGTAACCAACAGTGTGAGGGTAAAGGAGCCCTAGAGGTGTGGTGTGCAAGTGTCGGATTGCTAAGTGAAATGCTGGCGGTGTGAATCGACCTCTGTTAGAATGCAGCTGACACCTTGAAAGCTTTACAGCCTGGGATGCAAGATGGAGGGTGATGCCGAGGTGCAATCCATGGAGCAGCTGGTGGGCCAACGTCAGGACAGCCCCACGAGAGCAGCAAAGCCCTCTTGTCCTCCTCTGACTAATTCTTAGCCTCCCCATCCCAGGCACGTACCCAGGGAGCAACACTCACCCTGTGACATTGTATTTATCATCCTGTGACTTTGACAATCCAGCCAGGCTGAATCCTGAACTCAATTTGAGTATCCATTCTTAGCTACAGCATACAGCCGGTTAACTAGGCTTTTTGTGTAAAGCCTTCCACATATGGGGACTCCTATTTATTTAAACCGTTGACTAATTCTGAAAGCATACTGTTGTAGCTTTCATTTTTCATTCTGACTCTTGCCTCACCATTGTGTAAAGACAGGCTGTGCATACTCTGGCAAGGCTGCTCGGAAGCACTTTCCCACCTTAACTGAAGGTTGAGAACAGGCTAGTGGATCTTCTCCTGGGCTTTGTTAGCAAATTGCTGAGTTGTGTGCTTAGAGGAGTAGAACACGTTATCCTCTTGGAGGATGAAACCAAACTACTCTTGTAAAATTTGTCATTTTGTAATGGCAAGTAATTGTCAATTTCCACAGTTGGAGGGGTGGGGGAAGAAATGCTTGTATTAAATGACACTATAGAGAAAGAGTCCCTGGCTGGTGGAAATAGTTAACACACTCAGCTGCTAACTGATAGGTTGTAGGTTCCAAACCACCCAGAAGTGCCTCAGAAAAGCCTGCAGAAACCTGAAATCTCGAGGAGTACAGTTCTGCTCAGACACAGGTGGGGCTGCTGTGGGCCGGCCAGCACCCTGGGTCTTCTCTGAGAATACCTGCCACGTCCAAAGACAACTTGCCACTGCTGTTGACATTCGGCTCAGCTCTAGACCCAGCTACTCTGTAGCAGAGAGGGAGCTTTAGTCTTAGTCACACCTTAATAGAATGCATTAAAGATTTAACTTAAATTCATGTTTGGCTGCAATCAACCTGGGCTCCTGTAAGACATTTGGGGAAATCTCTAGTATTTTGGTCAGTGTAGGGTAATCTGCAGCCTGCAGTAAAATAACTTCAGTGTGAACCTGAATGAAGAGTA